TCAGGGTTCCAGACAAACAGAAATGTGCAAGTCGTGTTTCCCCACACGAGGAGGTTATGCTGGGTTATTTGTTTCGCTAACACTAATTAGCAGCTACTGTACATATATTGCAAGATTAAAAGATTAATTCACCCAAAAGTGAAAATGCCGTGTGTTTAGTCTCCCTTATGCTGTTCCAAATCTGTATACTCTTATTTTTTCTGTGGAGAATAAAAGGAGAATTTCTGAAGAATCTTCATGCAGTTTCTTCATACAGTGGACTTTCAGAGATGAATGCCTGTCAAGCTCCAAAAAAGAACAGAAACTAGTTTATTTACTTGAAAATTACAGCCTAAATTTCAATCTGTATGATTTTATAAGATATTGAATATAGTGCACGAATCATTCACTGCACCAGGGATATTAGAGTTAACTAAAACTAAAACCATAAAAAAACATTTTAGTACTTGAAATAAAATACCCAAACTAATTTTATTAACACTTCTCATTTTCGATTAGTTTAACTTGATGTATGAAAACAACTAAAACTAAATATTAAACAAACACTTTGACTAAAATTAAAATGCAAACAAAATATATTTAAAAAATCAAAATATTAATAGAATTTATAATAGAATCTCAGTGATAAAATACTTAAAATAAAACTGTGAAAAAGGTAATATTACATTCTGTTTTCCATTACAATATAATATACGTACATTCTTAATTCAAAATACTTCTACTTGAAAAGCAAAATGTAAGAGTTTTTGCTTAAAAACGAGAAAAAAATATTTGTGTGGGGTATGAAAATTTATCTTGTTTTCCCTATGAATTGTACTTGAAAGTGAAACTTTGATGACAGTCTACTTTTTTTTTTAAACCCATTGGCAGATATTTGTTCTTATTTTAACCAAACTCACCTAATTTTGATAGATTAGAAACAATTGACTTAATATCTCAAGTATTTGGCTTCTCAAGAAATCATATATCGGTTTAAGAATATGTAGATATTGGAAAACAAGACAAAAATACTGATTACGAATGTTTTTTTTTTCCCATTGCAAGTTTTTTTTTTTTTTATTGTATTTTTTTGTAGTCTGACAAACATGGTCACAATGAACTTTGTATAGAAAAGAGCTGCGTGAAGATGCTTTAAAGCAAATCATTTTTGGGTGAACGTTTCCTTTAAAAAAGAAAAGACATAAACTTTGCATTTTGTCTTTCGTAGAGCCACATACGACTAAAAATAGACTATTTGGAAACTAGATATACTAGGCACTAGGTATTTACAGTACATTGTGGCACATTGTCAAAACAGAAAAGAAACAGACAGATAAGGGAGAAGAAGAAAAAAAAAACACTTCTCTGAACAGAAACATAAAGTACCCTGATTTACATTTGATGCCGGGAAATATGGAGGAAATCTGTCCGCCTGTCCTTCAAGCGCTAGCAGGGAAGATTGCCTCGCTCACATCTGCCAGTCTTTTTCCGCTCTGGAAAAGCAGAATAAAACTGTCACGTTTTCCACACAGATGACTTTACGGCAGACGAGGCCTGCGGTGAGAGCGTGATCGGGTACTATATGAGTCTGCCGTGGAGCGACGCTAAAATACTCACATTTGGCTGCGATCTCCATTCGAACAATCAGACAGCAGCTTAATTAGGGCTAAAACCATTACATAAGCAAACGTGTGTTCATATGTAAAGAAAACGGTCCAGTTATTCGCATACATTCACTGCCATACCCATCCTTATCGACCAACGCTTGAGGCGAATTAAAGCGCGGTTTGTGTCCTTGGGCGAGAGAACATAAAGCCCTAGCAGAACTGAAAGGTTTATTCACAGGAAACAGAATGTGCCTTTACTGAGAAACCAAAGAAGAGAGATTGGATTGCAATCCTGTGATAAAGCTTCATCGAGCCAGTCGGTCGACGGACTGTCATTTCCTAGCTTCCTTTCTCAGATTAATATCATCAGACTCTTATGTTACAGGAGATGCTTGTGGAGGTTCAGTTTGCTGTCTTTATTGGGGCTTTTTTAGGTTTGATTGAAATTATGGCTTTAGACCGCATCTACACTGGATGCGAGCATCGCGCCGCTAAATTTTAAAACCAAAAAGCTGCCATTTTAATCAACAGAGCTGTCTACAATAGAAGCAACATGCTATCAGTTGACAAATGCCTTGTTTCTATTTTTGCATGGCTTCTTCAGACGATTTGTTTTTCCACTCAGTCTGAAATAAAATTATTATTTCATTAATTTAATTTCTGTTGCTCAAACAGCATGGCGCTGCAACACCAAGGTCATGGGGTTTGAGTCCCAGAATGCATGATCTGATCAAATGCATGCAATGTAACTTGCTTTGGATGAAAACATCTGCCTAAAAGTAATGTAAACCTATGTATTTAACACTATAAAGCCTACTGTGTAATATTTTATATGCTGTTAAACCTGTTGCACACAGTCTACTACATGCCTTCTATCGTCTGATTGATAGTTTAGATTTTTTAGCTTTTTTTTATAATTCTTTAAAATTCTGTTTAGAAAAATCATGTTAAATTATGAGTATCAAATATGATAATTTGAGGAAAGTTTATTTGTTCAACTTTCAGTCATCATTGTATTGCATTGCATTATATGTTTCGATCATCAAACTATGCATTTAAATATTATCTTTATAAGACTTATTGAGAGACAAGTAGTCTGCTATACTGTTATAAAGATCTCATTGTTTTACATTACAAGCTATTATCATAATTTCTGCCGTATAAATATCAGCATCTGCACCAAATTGCATATTTTTGCTCAGTTTGACTCTGAATCAAACAGAGTTGTATGAGCTCCATATTGTCACTAGTATCATACTCTATGAGCCACATAAGCCTGATGTATGAAATGTGACTTAATATTTTTTATACTTTCATATTTTGTATAAAGGTTCAATAAACTGCTTTGCTTTCTCCAAAATTTCTGACTATTATTTAATATGTCAGGCTTTACAGGGTTAAATGTTTGACCATTACTTCAAAGCCCATTTGTGATGTTCCATTAAAAGTAAATTTTATACCAGTTATGTTTTTTTTTTTTTAAATCTGCTTCCAGTGTAGATGTGGTGTTGTGCTGCCTTTACAATGCAAAGCCTAATGCACAGATCTAATATGTTTACATTCACCTAAAAATTTAAATTTACTTACCCTCATGCCATTCAAGACGTACTGTAGATGAGTTTGCGTCTTCATTGGAACAGATTTAGACAAATTTAGCATTACATCACTTACTCACCAATGGATCCTCTGACAAATCCATCATTACATCGTTTTAACTTTAAAATCATTTATTCTGGCCAAAAAACAAGTCCATAATGACACCTCCTCCACGGCAATGAGTCCATCTCCTGTTGTCTCTCACATCAAAATCCACCCACATATTAGTTTAGAACTGTTTTGGACTGTTTGGGCTTGTAAACTGTGCTTGTTCTGTGCAGATTTCTCTCCTGATTCAGACGAGACACCTTTTTAATTAAAGGAACCAATATTATAGATTATGGACTCAAAAGCAACAGTTTGAAGTTAAAAATTATGGATTAATGATGGATTTGTTTCTTACAAACACATGTTTTTACCAGCTGTTTGGACTCTCATTCTGACGGCACCCATTCACTGCAGAGGATCCATTGGTGAGAAAGTGATGTATTGCTACATTTCTGTTCTGATGAAGAAACATGAAGAAACAAACATCTTGGATGGCCTGAAGGTGAGCAAATATTCATCCAATTTTAATTTTTTTGGGTGAACTATTCCTTTAAGACACAACAGGCAATGGTGCAATTCCAATGCATTCACTTAGCATAGCACCAAGTGATGATTTTAGACCACTGGACACAAGTGCTTAGATGTTGACCAGATGACCAGACACATCAGATACATTTCAGATTCAGAACCACATTTGAAAGTGACCCAGATCAGATCGCTTGTGTATGTACCCTTGCACAAACATGCAAGGAATTTGATCTGATCTGTGCATATCAGCAGTGTAAATGCAGGCTTACTGTATATTGTAAAATCAATAGTAATCCATACGCTGTTGTTTCAGGAAATCTTGTCAATGTTTGTTTGTTTTTGTTTTAATTGATTAAGCTGCCTGTTTCAATCGCACAACTCCCACAATCTCTAAATCATCCAGTGCAACTGGGGAATGTGATGATACCTGTCCTATAGAGGGCGCTAATGGGACACAGTGTGCTTTGTGTTAATATAATCTACAGATGGATCACCCTTAGAGAAACAAGACTTTGAAAAGCATTCTAGACGTATCTGATTAAAGTACTTAGGACGTGATCGCTACAAATAATCGGCAAATACACACAATTTCCATTTTGCATGAATTATTACTGATCTATTTACATGGCAGTTGTTAATATTCAGGTCACATCAATAATGCCACTTGGCATACATTCAAAACCCATTATGCACCAATCTCGTTTTTGTTTTTCTAAAATGATTTTTCCTATGTTACTGCCCGGGTTTGCACATAAAATCATTTACAGCGTCATATTTACAATTTTCAAAGTTCAAGTGAGAAAAATCTGCAGCAGTTGACAATGAAACAAACAACTACATTCTTGCAAAGAGACAAGTTCGTAAATCAACCCAATAGTTTACATCTGTTCACAAGCAATCAACAAATCAACGATTCAGTCAGCGCTCACAGGCCTGCAAACTGAGCCCACGCACAAACTTTGTATTATGCTTACAGGCCATTAATATGCAGCATGTTTTAGATACTCAGTAATTTGTGCAAATCAGGATCTATTTTTAACACAACAGGCAATGTTATAAAAATGTCACTGTTTAACTGTAAAATATAGAATAAATAAATAGATATAGAATATATTATATTTTTACAATAATATTACATTATATAGCTAATATTGTCTTTTTTATTTTTATATTATTACATTTTTAATTAAATATTACCATTTTTTAATGTCTACACTGCAACCTCTCTGACCTTTGACCTTTTCAAAATTGTGAATTTTTCTATTTATTGTGACTGTAGTACTTTCCAACAATAAAATTAAAATCAACACAGAGTTTCCATCACTGAAACGCGCAACTGCCGTAGACCCCCAAACATAAAGTGACAAAAAATACATGTAACTTTAGAAAACGAGGACAAATTTCATAACATATTGCAAAAGCTGCGCAACCTTATCCAGTGCCTTAAAAGACGAGGTTTCAAACATTCTCTGAATAACGTTGATTCAATTGCTTATGCTGCGATATGAAGCTTTCGTATAAAAGGCAGGGCGAGAATATTGCAGAATTATATTGCATGTGCAGATCAACATGGATCACAAAAAACAGCATGATTATTTTGGTTTGCCTGCTAATTTAAACAAACCATTGCATTCAAGTCTTGACTCTCAGTGCAATCCCGATGCAGTGAAGTATTGCCTTTATCGACACACAAAATGCAAGCATTACACTCCCGTTCGATCAAACAGTTTTATAAATTAAACGAATAATAAGCATATGTGCACAAATACACACGCACACACAGACCATGTATATGGCTTCTAAACTCGGAATCAAGGCAGTTAAATAGAGGACTTTTCATTTGACTTGTTTTTCTCAGTTGACACAGACACAACCAAAACTTGTGTTCAAGCTCAACTTTGGTTTTCGAGTAAATACAATTTGTGTGTTTTCTATTAGAACTTATTTTTTTCCCTTTTTTACCCCTTTATTTACATTAAGATATAAGATCGACCAGCGGTCCATAATACTTGTTTTTTTTTATCGATATTTTACAACAAAGTGAAAGACAAGTAATTAGATTGCTACAAGTAGAGCTCATACAGAAAGAATGGAGACGTTCCAAAACACTTCAGCGAAGCGTCAAATCTCATCATTGTCATCTCTTGCAAGTCCCTGATTTTCTAGTCGCCCGATTGCATTGTATGAACTCTACGGAAAACACCACAGTAACACACGACAGGATTTCTCCCTTTCACTCGAGACGATAAAGACAAATATATTAAGAGGCATCCGAAGCTGTACAGGGGCGGCACTAGCTACACTAGCGAGGCATCTGACCTCATGAATCTATTCGCAGCGGAGACATTAAATCTAGTAGCGGTAAAGGTGAGGTCACATTAGCGATATTTCAACGAAATTCGTCAACAGCGTAGTGATGTATAAAGCACAGAACTCTCAAAACATGCAGCTTCATTGGTCAACGTGGTGAATTCAAAAGACCAACTGTGTGCGACACTTCCGATCGTACGGATTCATATTGGAACGACTTAACTTCGCCCGCAAAATTTCGGTAAATGTGACCACACCTTAAGTCTGTCTGAACGCCCTCCCTGTGGTTCCTATGAAAAGCCACCCTACGAGCGCAGGACTCGAGCAAAAAGAACGAACTGTGACTCACAAAAAGTATCGCAAAGAGTCTCAGAGTTCTCGTCAGAGGTTGGATGAAAGCCGGGATCTGGCTGTGAAGTCCGTCTCAGGAAGGCTGACTATGGAATCTTTCTTGCGTATAACCGAGTCCGGTCCCGCTACTGCGGGCGGAGTGCCTGTAGGGGGCAGCGTAGACGGGTAACTCCCAACCGCGGCTGTGGACGCCTGGTGAGGCAGCGCCATTCTCTGAGGAACTGCGCTTCGGACTCCAGAAGGCCCTGGGATGGCTGGATGGGGTGCTTGAGGTGGGCCGATCGACGTCGAGGAGACGTGGGTCGACGGTGGTGGGCTGGGAGCAACGGGTGGAGCGCCATCTTGTGGCAGGGAGAGTTGGGAAGCCGACAGGGCTCTGGCGTCTTGGGTCAGGCTCCCTATTTGTTGCAGTGGTTGGGTTCCTTTGGGCCGTGTGGGACTGGGGACGTGCTGTTGGATGAGTGACAGCTGAGATCCGGAGCGCGTGCCCATCGGGCCGCTCCCATATTGGAAAGTTCGTCCTCCCGCCGCTGCTAACGGGCTTTGAACCGGCGGACTGGCCATAGCGACGCCGGCGAGCACGCCAAGCCCCAGCTGAGACTGCTGAGGAGAAACCGTCACCGGGCTAGCAAGGCTTTGCACTACCTGGAACCGTCGGACCATACGGGGTGACTGCATGGTGCTGGGACCCACCATCGGACCGAACTGGGGACAGAAGCTCATGGCCACCGCTTGCTGTAGAGTAGCGATGGCAGAGCTGCTGCCCTGCGACTGGCCAGGAGGAGCAAAGAACCCGCCGGGGATGGAGGGCGTCATGGACATGGCGCGCGGGCGCTGCAGGTCGATCAGCTTCACCATCTCGCGGTCGTACTTCACGATCTCTTGGATCATCTCATTCTCGTGGTTGTTTAAGGTGCCGGAGTTTAAGTCGTGCTGCACTTTGTTCATTAGGATGGAATTCTTTTTTCCTGCAATGAGAGATAAATTGTCATTTTCCATGGGTACAGTACACTTTTGCAAACCATTAACATAGCATGAAAAGTACAGAATTTTCCCAAATTTGAAAAACTCTTAAAAAATCTATAAAAATGTGGACCCTTTTTACAACATGGCAGGAAGACAGTAAATAATCACATTTTCCCCCCAATTTATTCTTAAACGGTAGTGATGACCACATTCGTCAACCTTACTGTAATTCTATAAAAATGCTAACAACACATTTATTGTAAGAAATATTATCAAATAAATACATTAATATTTTAGTTTATTTTTTTATAATTGTGTTTTAATTTATAATAAAATAATTGATGAAATAATTTATTATAATGAACAAAATCAGAGTTTCATGCCTATTATGTAAATTTCACATAATTATGTAGCATGTGGAATTTTCATTATTATTATTATTATTAATAATAATTATTATTATTATTACTATTATTATTTTGTTCAAGTAAAAAATATGTTCAGAAAACATACTGAATCACAACTTAAAAACAAAATCTATTCAAATGGATACAACTTATAGACAATAAAAAGTAACCGAAAACTATAGCACCTTTTAGTGCTCTTTAGTCCAACTTTAAATTGATGATTTATACAATTTTGCAACTCATTTAACAATAGGTATGGATCAGGATGGTTCACCAGTCTTCCAACAACCAGCTGGTCTATTAATGACTTTTTAACAGAAGTTCTTTAAACATGCATTTCGAGGCATAACATGTCAGTGTGTGTATTTGGCATGTTAAAACCCTTCATGAGAAGTTGTTTTTAAGTATATCCCTGTAAAAGCATTCATTCGGCACAGCCATTAAACAACCGCCTTCGTGTAAACTCACTGCTTTCAACAACACATTTACTGCAGTGAATTTAAGACACAGTCGGATTTCAAATCGCCTGCTGTGAGCAATTTTCCTGTTGTTATGCAGAATCCACAGGATCTTTATTAAAAACAATGATAGATTTGAGCAATAAAAGACTTAACCTTTTACTTATTTATCCTATTTATTTCTTACCCTGTTAAAGGACTGTACTAAGTGGTCCTACTGTAACAAGTGAGATTGATTCCACATTCCTGCTTTTAAACCCACCAGAACATTCACATTAGAAGTTAATAGGACAAGTGCATTACTGTTAACAGGTTTTCTGTTGTTTTTTAAGCTCAACAAGTCAATATCATGTCGACACAGAAGGCATCAATAAAGCTTAAGCTGTATTTAACCCTGAATAATCCTTTAAGGCATTAAAATGTTCACATTTTTGTTCTTTGAGAAGGTTTCGCTTACCCAAGCGGTCCAGTCGGTCAATGGCTACAGTCTCAAAAGCCCTCCTCATCATGGGATACTCCTCCAAAACCTCATTAAAATTGTCCACGGAGAGCGAATACAGGCGACAGTAGGTCTCCGCTCGCACACTCGCCGTACGACGGCCCCGCGTCAGCAGACAGATCTCTGACAGAGAGGAAAAAAACAAGATTCAAGAGCACCGGAATGAGTAAAAAACATCTCGATAGTGCCGTTCTCTTGGGGAAAGGAACTTTGTGACCTTTTCTAGATGCCAAGTGTTTTTAAATTGCTCGAAAACTGAAACCCTGAAGAGTCCTCCATTGAACAGGGTGTGAATTTAAATATCTGCCTGCGGAAAGTAATTAAACTTTATCAGACTTCATTCAAAAGTATGTGATTTGAATGCTTATTACAAAGAGGTGAATATATTCCTGCTTTATTGAGCTCTCATGTCTTAAAAATGAAGGGTGTAATTATTTCAGTGCTAAAATACTTTGCCGTATCCTATTTTAAATTGATATTCTGCTATAATTCACTCCCCTTCTTGTCACTTTCTTTCTTCTGTGGAACACGAAAAGATATTTTGAAGAACATTGTATGAACAAAACCCCCCCACCAAATTTTCATTTTTGTTCCACAGAAAAAAAAAGTCATACAGGTTTGAAACTTGAAGTCTCTTTTGCACAGCAAGGCTATGGAAGCCCATTTCTTCCAATGAAAAAAAAATGGTATTGCAACTTTTTATCTCACAATTCTGACTTTTTTCTCAGAATTGCAAGACATAAACTCACAATTGCAATAAAGTCAAAAACGTGGGATATAAACTCACAATTCTGACTTGTTTCTTGCAATTATGTTTTCCTCTCAATTCTGACTTTTTTCTCAGAATTATAGGATTATAAAGTCAGAATTGCATAATATAAGGTCACAGTTGCAAGAGAAAAAGTCAGAATTGCGAGATATAAACATGCAATTGTGAGAAAAAGTCAGAATTGTCAGATAAATGTCTTCCATATCAAGTCTGCCATTATTTGAAGGGGGGGGAAAACCCAATAAAAAAGTGAAATATTATTACAATTTAAAATAACAAAAATTTTCTATTAGAATATATTTTACATTTATTAAAAAAAATAAAAAATAAAAAATCAGCATTAGAATGGTTTCTGAAGGATAATGTGACACTGAAGACTGGAGTAATGATGCTGAAAAATCAGCTTTGAATCACAGAAATAAATTAGATTTTAAAATATATTACAATAGAAAGCAGTTATTTTGAATTGTAATAATATTTCACAATATTACAGTATTTTTATCAAATAAATACAGTCTTGGTGAGCAGAGATTTCTTTCAAAAACATTAAAAAAATCTTAATTATTCCAAAATTTTGATTGGTAATACTGGCTGCATATGTTATACATTATATATATATATATATATATATATATATATATATATATATATATATGTCTTTTATATATATATATGGCCTTGTTTTATGGTGAATGTGCAAGGTTACTTTGTGTCTATATTTAGAAGATCACACACAGGTTCCTTGGGATTAAATTCACCCCATATGATATTGAAACACAACTATGAAACATCTAGCTCCTCAGGATGGGAGAGAAATAACCCATAATAGCCTCCGAAGATAATAAACGTCATTCATCGTACATGTTGTGCGTCATTCTGCGTATTACGTCCTGACCCATCCATCAGGGTCCTCTGTGTGTTCGGTCCATTTCCCTGTCTGCACTCTAGATCAATCCAGAAAATCCAATTCACAACCTTGGAAGCCTTGGTTCGTTTTAGAGAACTTCGTCATCCAGAGGCGTTCATCCGAAGCCGGGGTCATTCATCAAACCAAAGGCAGTAAATTAAATTCACAATCACAGGTACGAAAGTAAAGGTGAACAAACACACACACACACACACACACACCGGTGCAACACAAACTCTTGTGTGGACAAACACATGAGCACAAAACCTCACTTGCATCTAATTTGTTCTTTCTTCTGATTATACACCTTTAAAATCCATTAACGCATGCACAAATGCTACTGCAACGAAGAAAAGTCTCTCAAAAAATGGAGAGCAAATCAGGACTATTATAATCAACTAAAACTAAAACCATAAAAAAAACATTCGTTACTTAAAATAAACCGTAACTGTAATACAATAAAAATTCAATGGAATTTATTCTATTTAAGCTACACTCTAAAAAATGCTGGGTTAAATATAACCCAGCGCTGGGTTAAAAAGGGACAAACCCAGCTATTGGGTTGTTTTGACCCAGCGGTTGGGATGTTTTGACCCAGCGGTTGGGTTGTTTTGACCCAGTGGTTGGGTTGTTTTGACCCAGTTGTTGGGTTCAAAACAACCCAACCGCTGGGTTTGTCCCTTTTTAACCCAGCGCTGGGTTATATTTAACCCAGCATTTTTTTAGAGTGTAGTTACAATTTTTCTCATTTTGTTTTAGTTTAACTGTAGTTTTAGTAAAATAATTAAAACTAAATACACTAAAATCAATAAATTCAACCAATTAATAAAAAAAATGGCAAAACCACACAAACAAAATTACTAAAACTTTAACTAAAATTAAAGTGAAAACAGAAAATATAAAAATAAAAATCTAATGCAAAATATTAGTAGATTTTTACAGATTTAATTATTATTATTATTATTATTATATATATATAATTATATATAATTCATTAATACATCTACTTAATATTATAGTATATAGTCTTTGTTGTACTGGGTTTATGGTAATATAAAAAATAAAATAGAGAATTGACATTTTAAAAATTATTTTGCAATATAGTCATGAGAATTTGGAGGGAAATGTGCTTACTTGTCCTGAAAATAATGTCAAAATACAAAAAAAATATTTTTTTAGTGCATTTTATATTTTATAGACCTATAATTGACATAAAGCATAAGGGTTAATTACATTAAATCTGTCAAAAAATATTATGAAAATAAACATTTTTAAATTAATAAATTGACTTTAATTTTATCTAATTTATGTTAGTATAAAAAATTAACATTTAAAAATTGCAATTTCAAAATTGCATTATCCATTAAATTGAAAATAATGTCAAAATTTTATTAAAAATATAATTGCCCTTTTATTTGATTGAGGTGACATTTTACATCCATTTGAGATCCCTTACAGCAGCATGATAACAATCTTGCCAAATTAATTTTAAAATAAACACCAGAGACAAATTTGAAGCGCGGCTGAGAACTTCATGAAGTCTTTGCTATGAAAACAACAGTACAGTTTTCCCGTGGTAATACTGAGACTGATCCTTCTACACACAGCAACAGGCGGCTTCTCTCTTTTCCTCCTTGATCTCAGGCTACACAAGACATCAGTTCGTCTTTGACCTTTCCAAGGTCACGCGCCGAGAGCCTCTTCCAGAGCCTCCTGCCCTCTGCAGCTGAGATCGGCTGACTCAAGCGGCTTTAAGGCTGCAGAGGGATCGTGTTCCTCTCCTCAGCATCACACTCTCTCTCTCTGGATCTCTCCGTCAGCTCACAACCATCACAGTTCCCTTTCCAGAAGACTATTTCGACTTAAGATGCAAATACTGTTTCCTAACAGAGTAACGTGACACGTTTCAGCAAAACGTAATCTGTCCGGATCAGATGCAGAAGTAAAAGTAAAAAAATGTTGACTGCAAACACGAATGTGCTTTTAAAGTTCAATTCATTTACCGTCGATATAATTAAGATACGTATAAAGTACTAAAATAGAAGAGGTCACACCATATCTGGCTTAAATGATTTCAAATGTTATGGGGTTCAATAAGGATTTGAGCAGTTTAATTAAGTAAAGTGATGGTTTAATTCCCATCTCGTTTATGAGGTTAATTTGAGTGGCATCGTACCTCCGAAGTAGGAGCCGTCGGAAAGTTTCAAGCCAACCGTTCCTTTGGTAATCACGTTCACCACGCCGTGCTGGATGAAGTACATCTTCTTGCCGATGGTTCCCTCACGGACGATGTAGTCGCCTGGTTGGAAGACCTCGAAACGGAGCTTCGTTAGCATGGCTGTCACAAAGTTGGGCTCGGCGTTGGCGAACAGGGGCATGGAGGCCACCAGCTTACGACAGTTGAAGTTCACGATTTCCTGAAACGGATGGAAAGAAGTCCAGAGGGTGAGAGAAATATGCATTTCTCACATACACAACATTTGCATAAACATAAGGGCGAATCACATGAAAACTGTCAAGTACTGTTTGGTAAATAAATAAATAAATAATGAATAAATAAATGTATTATTTTATTTAATATAATTTTGTGTAGGAGATCATGATCTGCACTCACGAAAACAGTCTTCTTTTATTTTATTCGTTTTATTTTACATTCATCGTTGATGGGAAAAGACGCAAACGTTTCTGCTCAAAGCCTTCTTCAGTGTTATTTTCATTTTATTTTAAAATATGTGTGTATTTATTTATTTAATATTATTTTTAAATACGTTAATAATAAAAATAATAATAATAATAATTTGCAAATAAAAATGAATTTACTTGAAAATGTAATAATAATAAGTGAATAAATATTTAATAACAATAATCATCATCATCATCATCATCATTTTCATAGAGAAAATGAAACTTATTATCATAGTATATTATAGCCTGGCATTTATTGCACTGCATTTAATTTATATATAATTATTATTATATAATATATTATTATATAATATAATAATTTTAATTTATATAAACAATCAAATTTACCTGAAATATAATAATAATAATAATAATAATATGAAAAATATTTTGCATATAGAAAATGAAACTTATTATTATAGTATATTATAGCCTAATATTTGATGTAATTATTTAATAATACTAATAATAAACAAAAAAAATTCAAATACTTATTATAGTACATAATAATGTATAGTATACAGTACATACTATGATATTTTAATAAACATGTTTATTCTAACATTTTTATTTCAATTTAATTCATGCTTATTAAAGACAAAAAATTACAGGAAAATTGAATAATATTAATATATAAATATCTCAATGATAATAATAATAATTTGCATGGGAAAAAATAAACTTATTATGTAACCTACTCATTTTTGTACTGAATTTCATTTATGCTTATATAAAAAAAACATAATTTATCTGAAAGACTTATAATAATAATCATCAGCATCAATTTGAACTGAAAAACAAACAAAAAAATACAAATATATAGTATATTTGTTGCAATGCATATACAGTATAATTGTTGTAACATAATATATTTGCCCTGGACATTTCTTGGTGCAATTCAGCTACAAAGGATCACATTAGAGCATAAACATCTATTCATAAGTAGCTGAATGTTTGTTATAGGAGCTTTACGTTACATTAAATGCAGAGAAAGCTGGACGGCATTCACAGAAGGGATTTAGCTGTTTACAGTGACACAAATGAGTTTGGAAGCTGTTCCCGCTTCAGCATGCTTTCATTGTTTTGGATAGCTCTGTGAAAACTGCAGGGCCTTCTGAAAGATTTTTTCCACAGATGTTTATAGACGTAGACAGACCTTTGCAAACACACACACACTCATGCTCACACTCATGCTTACACTCACGATCACACACATGCACACACACACACACACTCTCACACACACACACACACACACACACACACACTCATGCTCACACTCACAATCACACACATGCACACACACACACACACACACTCTCACACATACACTCACACACACACACTCATGCTCACACTCACAATCACACACATGCACACACACACACACACACACACTCACCTCTCTGAGCGGCTCGTTCAGCTCCTCTAGGATGCTTTCTTCATCAAACATCTTGCCCTGGTAACGGTGCTCATAGTAATCGTGGATTTTCTGTCGGAAATCTGCTGGAAGTTTGTGGAAGGACATGTACTGCTCCACTTGCTTGTACTGCAGAGACAAAAAGACAGAAATGTGAAGAAAATTAGGATGTTTTTTCATCTAGAGCACTTTCAGTAGTAATGCACTAATGCATAGTATCATGTCAGTTCTTTAAACCAGTGTTATTATCATTAACTAAAACTGAATTTAATTGAAATAAGGTTTAAATAAATAAATTAATTATATTTCATTTTATTTATTTATTTATTTATTGTGCCAAGGCAACATTTCTAATATTTAGTTTAAGTTAAATCACTACAGTTTCCAACTCAAAAAATATATATAATAATAATAATAATAAAAATAATAATAATTTAAAAATAAATAAATAAATACAATTAAAACTGAAAGTATGAATAATAAATGCGAATTCAAATATTAATAAAATCTGTAATAGTATATAAATAACTGTAAAATAACACCGCTTTAAACTTAAGTAAGACTGCCAATAGTGACACAGCCATTTCAAAGCAAGGCACGAGTTCCACAAGACTTCAACACAAGCAAATTGACTAAACATCCAAAAAAAACTGGCATCCTCTGGAATACAAAACATTTACCGACACGAGCCATGCCAAGGTTATTCAACACACACTGTAACAGCTGATCAATATCCAAGAAAAATTAGGCTAGGGGAGAACAAAGACAAAGAAAATCACAGGACAAATAACAGTTCAGCACTCTTGATGATTAACTGTTCTTCAGTCATTTGTATTCTACTGCATGTTTTGCCAAGTCCAGATCATTGTAGTCCAAAACATAGAGTACTCAAAAAATGAAATACACCTACATTTACACTGATGAAGCATATATAATATACCAAACATAACAATATATATGCAATAAAATGAAAATATACAAATAAAAATAATACAAAATATTTTTTAAAACTCAAGGATATCAATGATACTAAAATAACACTGTTACAAAGAACAAACTGTGTCAGGGAAGAGCTTGGGATAAAACATGAGAGATAAAATAGGTAAATATCATTTGATCAAGCTGTAATTATATAATATTATTCCATATTATTTAACCGCATTCATTTAGAATTCATAAAATGCTACACTGTAAAAAAAAATCTATAGTTTTTACAAAATAATTTTGGCAGCTGTGGTTGCCAGAATAATTTTGTAAAAAATACAGAAAAAGTGTAAACACATTTACGGCCAAAAACTGTAAATTTTACAGTATAAAACTGTAATTTACAAACAAGAAAATTTGAATGTAAACCAGTAAATTCAACAATGCACACTGCTATTAAAATCTGTTTTGTACGTTGAACATACTGACAACCACCGTAATAATGCAGGTGGTAAAAGAGAAAGCCACATGAAGAATCAAAGCTCATCACAAGTAGCTTCGCCACAAGCAGAAGTATATACTAATATATAGAAGGTGCAAGAGTCATTCATGCAGACACTAAACACCATCATGGTAACACACATTATACTTAAATAATGCATTCAACTTTCATTAAACAACAGAAGATGTAACATAAAGCTAGCGTTTTTACAACATTTTTACAGTGTATGAAATAGCAAAACAGAGGGTGAGTTATTCATAACATGTCATTTCCACCTCATAAGGCATGTTAAGTTTAGATTGGAAATCTTCATTAAAGCACAGGGGGGGGGGGGGAAATCTCCCATGAAAAGACCTAGTAAGAGGGTGAAAAATAGTTTTCAACAAGTTTACTTTCTAAAAGGGCCAAACAGGTTGTTGGAATACATCCATGTCAGCGTAAAAACTTTTGTGTTTTCTCTCATTGCTTTAATCCAGGCCCATGTTCTTCAAGCAATGTATGACCCCCAAATCCCAGCCTCAGATCATTAGTTAACATTAACGAGCCAAGCATCCCTCAAACTGCGTTATTCACAGAGACAGAAAGAGAACAGCAATGATGGAATGATTTAGGCAAAACAAAGAAAGCAGGTCAGAGCGGAGGCATTAGCATTGCAGTCGTGTGTGTTCCCTGTTGCATCTGCTGACGCAGGCGTTTGTGGAGCACCTGTAAAGGTCCCTGAACCACTTGTGAGAATAATTGCCTGTGTGTTGAGCTTTATAAAGGTCCCACTACTGCTCTCATTCCACAACTTCATACGAACATGAAAGTGGGCTGCATCTGTCAGCACCAGCGCCGGGTCAACAGTGTTCAAAGATTGCTTTTAAAAGGAGGTCACATGAAAAACATAACATTTTATTTGATCCTTTGAAATAACAAAGTTCAATAGAATAGATTTTAGATTTTTAGAACTTCCAGAGCTTGAAAAATAACAATAACAATAATAATTTTCCTTGATATTTTGAAATGACAAAGTTCAGTGTACGAGATAAAAGTCCAGAAATTCCAAAATAATAAATAAACAACAAACAAACCATTTTTTTTCTTGATCTTTTGAAATAACAGAGTTCAACGTACGAGATAAAAGTCCAGAAATTCCAAAATAATAAATAAACAACAAACAAACCATTTTTTTTCTTGATCTTTTGAAATAACAGAGTTCAACGTACGAGATAAAAGTCCAGAAATTCCAAAATAATAAATAAACAACAAACAAACAATTTTTTTCTTGATCTTTTGAAATAACAGAGCTCAATGTACGAGATAAAAGTCCAGAAATTCCAAAATAATAAATAAACAATAAGCAAACAATTTTTATTGATCTTTTGAAATAACAGAGTTCAATGTATGAGATAAAAGTCCAGAAATTCCAAAATAATAAATAAACAATAAACAAACAATTTTTTTCTTGATCTTTGGAAATAACAGAAAGATTTTAAAAAATCAATCAACAAATAAACAACATTTAAAAAATCCTTGATATTTTAAAATAATAGAATTGAATGTACTAGACTGTAGAATTCTGTAGAATCTCCGTAGATTCAAAAAAGTTTGTAAAAAAAATCTAATTTCACTTGGTCTTTTGAATTAACAGAATTAAATGCATTAGATTTTAGAATACTTTAAAACTTTCAGAGATTCAAAAATACAGAGATTAAAAAACAGAAAATAAATAAATTTAATTCTATTTGATCTTTTGAAATAATACTGTTCAATATACTAGATTTTAAAATTTTAGAACTTCCAGGGATTCACAAAATGTCCTTGCTCAATGTACTAGATTTTTAGGACTTACAGAACAAAGCATCAATGACAACAGGGGCTATTAAAACGACCTCATAAAGGTTCAGTAGCAAAAACAGGGGTTCCAGACCCATATTCATTGTCATTATGAGGGACTGTATTGTAGCATATACTGTACGTGTTGGAAAACATTCCTCTGTGCACCAGCTGGACTATACTGAACAGCCTCTAGTGGATCTATACCCTGAAACAGCTTCTCCCAGCGTTTCACTGATCCAGATGCTTCACAGTGAAGATGTCGCTCACTTACTCAGTTGAAGAAGCAGCAGTGTTGATCTAAGTGGTTCACTGATAGACCGATAAATAAAATTGTGTTTAATGGGCAAGTCAGAAGAAAGCAATGTGATAGAGATGGACTGATAGACCTGCGTGACGTCAGACTGCATCCTCTCTCGCCTCATTTACAGCCAGATTAAATGAAAACTGAGTCGCCGTTGATGGAGCCGTTTACCGATCGGTGTGAAAGGTTACGCACAAGGACGGGTCAGGACATTCCACTGTTCTCACTGGTTTAGCATGTAACATCACAGGAATATTGGGGGATTCTTATAGTATTACGTATGACATAGATCTGATCACAAATAAACAAGAAATAGTATATTTCTGACCTGTTCTGAAGAGCTTGATCACGTAAAATTTGCTGCCAGAATGTTGTGGATGGTTGCTAGGGTGTTGCTAGGTGGTTAAGGTCAAAAGAGCACACTTTTTCCATTTTTGTTTTTTTAAGTCTCTTCTGCTCACCAAGGCTGCATTTATTTGATCAAAAATACAGTAAAACTGTAAAATTATTAAATATTATTACAATTTAAAATAACCGTTTTCTCTGATTATTATATCAGTGTTGAAAACAGTTTTCCTGCTTTATATTATTCAATCAAATATTATATTAAATATTAGAATAGAATACTATATTAAATCATATTATATTTTGTGGAAACTACTTTTTTCAGGATTCTTTGATAAACAGAAATTATTAATGTCTTTCAGAAAAATCTTGCTGACTCTGAACTGTACTGTGGGAACAAAATTAATTCAGACAAAACCTCAATTTTTCAACACCTGTAGACGTCCTCCAAAGAACAGCTGATTCATAAATATTGTAAGCAAAGCACAGAGTTTTCTTTTAGGGCTAGACTTTTTTTCCCCGGGTTTTGATTTCCAGGAAATGCATAATAAACTGATAAAATGCAAACCTTTATTGTAATGTAACTCACTTAAGATAAAAGTGTCTTCCAAATGTATAAATATAATCTAAAAATAGCCACCTAATTAGCTTTTAATATAAATGTAAAACAATAAAAGTCTATGATACTGCCTCATTTAGATAGCAAAGTAAATGTGTTTGTGTGTGAATTGAAATTGCTAGAAAATATGAATATGGCTAGTCTGAAATCTCAGAGCAGAAATCCACATTCCATTAGTTCCATATAACATCATAACATCAAGTGTGAATATCATCGTTTTCATGGCTTTAACTGCTGGTATAATTCTAATAGCGTGTGCTCACTCTTTAACCGTCCAGATCTCTCTTCATTTATACGTCTCTCTTAGTAATAATACATTGTAAAAAATAATTTTTCAAAGTTGTAAATAAAACAAAGGTTACAGAAAAACTCTACTGATTTGCAAAATATTACCTAATTTAATGATGCTGCATTCAGTGTTTTGGATTATTAAAAAGAAATTGCAAAAAATTGCAAAAGTGTGTGTGTGTGTGTGTGTATTTATAAACAGGCTTTCTGTTAGACATGCTCTAAATCTGCAGCACTGCACTGAGTGTTTCTGACTGCTGACTGCTCCAGTGACAGGACGGGGACCATCCTCTCACCGCCAGAAATAGCACACAGATCACACGCACCGC